GTTTAGCATCAGGTTTCAAGATAACAAGAACTAAAAAAAGGTAACTGGTACTATCCAGCTATTCTCCTTGCCAGTACAGGACTGCATTCTCAACACATTTACTTTTTGATTGTTTTTTGAGGATAACCACAGAACCAAGTTACAACTAGGCATGCTACAAATGCAATAATACAAGCTAAGTTTTCACCACCCAGAACACCAAATCATAGTTAGGGTTGGAAAGGCCCTTAAGATCATCTAGTTCCAACCCCCCTGCCATACCCAGGGACACCTCACATTCAACCATGTCGCCCAAGGCCCTCTCCAACCTGACCTTGAACACTGCTATGCATGAAGCATTTACCACTCCTTTGGGTAACCAGTTCCAGTGCCTCACCACCCTCACAGTAAAGAACTTCTTCCTTATATCTAAGCTGAACTTCCCCTGTTTAACTTTAAACCCCTTGTCCTATCATTACAGTCCCTAATGAAGAGTCCCTCCCCAACATCCTTGCAGGCCCCCTTCAGATACTGGAAGGCTGCAATGAGGTCTCCACGCAGCCTTCTCTTCTCCAGGCTGAACAGACCCAACTTCCTCAGCCTGCCTTCATATAGGAGGTGCTCCAGTCTCCTTATCCTCATGGCCCTCCTCTGGACTTGCCCCAGCAGCTCCATGTCCTTCTGTTGAGGACACCAGAAGTGCACACAGTCCTCCAAGTGGGGTCTCACAAGAGCAGAGTAGAGGGGCAGGATCATCTCCTTCGACTGGCTGGTCACGCTGCTTTTGATGCAGCCCAGGACACGGTTGGCTTTCTGTGCTGTGAGTGCACACTGAAGCTGGCTCATGTTGAGTTTCTTCATCAACCAACACCCCCAAGTCCTTCTCTGCAGGGCTGCCCTGAATCTCTTCTCTGCCCAACCTGTAGCAGTCCCTGGGATTGCCCTGACCTACAATTCCAGTTCATTGTCGGTGTTAGACCTGGCACTTGGCTTGCTTGAAATTCATGATGTTGTCATTGGCCCACCTATCAAGAGTGTCAAAGTCCCTCTGGATGGCATCCCTTCCCTCCAGTGTATCAGCTGAACCACACAGCTTGGTGTCATTGGCAGAGTTGCTAAGGGTGCACTCAACCCTACTCAGTGGACTCAATACCCATGTCTCTGACAAAGATTTTGAACAGCATCAGTCCCAACACCGACCACCCCTGAAGGACTTGTCATCCATCTCCAGCTGGACATTAAGCCGTTGATCGCAACTCTGTGTGTGCGATTCCTCATGCACTGAGTGGTTCATCCACAAAATTGATGTCTCTCCAATTTAGAGACAAGGATGTCATGTGGGACAGTGTTGAACGCTTTGCACAAGTCCAGGTAGATGCCATCAAGTGCTCTACCCCTGTCTATCAGTTCCGCAGCCCCGTCATAGAAGGCCACCAAATTGGTCAGGCAGGATTTGCCCTTGTTGAAGCCATGTTTGCTGTCACCAACCACGTCGTTGTTTTTCATGTGCCATAGCATGGTTTTCAGGAGAATCTGCTCCATGATCCTGCCAGGCACAGAGGTGAGACTGGCTGGTCTGTAGTTGTCTGGGTCTTCCATTTTCTCCTTCTTGAATAGCGGGTTGTATTTCCCTTTCTCTAGTTGTTGGGAACATCACCTGACTGCCAAGATTTTTCAAATATAGTGGACAGTGGCTTAGCAAATTTATCCACCAGCTCCTTCAGGACCCGCAGGTGGATTTCATCAGGTCCTATGGACTTGTGCACATTCACATTCCTAAGATGATCTTTAACCTGATCCTCTCCTACGGTGGGCCTAAGGTCTTCATTCTTACAGTCCCTGCATTTGTCTCCCAAGGCTTGAGTGGCATAGTTGGAGCAATTGCTGTTGAAGACTGAGGCAAAGAAGCCACTGAGAACCTCAGCCTTCTCCAAATCCAAGGTAGCCAGTGCTCCTGTTTTCTTCCAGAGAGGGCCCGTATTATCCCTAGTGTTTCTTTTGGTAGCAACATACCTATAGAAGCCCTTCCCGATATCCTTGACATCCCTGACCAGACTCAGTTTCAACTGGGCCTTAGCTTTTCCTGACCTGAACCTTAGCTTTCTGGACAATGTCCCTGTATTCCCCTCAGGCTACGTGACCCTGCTTCCATCTCCTATAAACTTTCTTTTTCCTTCTCAGTTTTCTCAGCAGTTCCTCATCCATCCATGGAAGCCTCCCGAGCTTCCTACCCCATTTCATTCTGGTCAGGATACAACATTCCTGAGCTTGGAGCGGGTGATCCTTGAATATCGACCAGCATTCCTGGGCCCCCTTCCCTCTGGGCTTCATCTCATGGAACCTTACTGAGCAGGTTCCAGAAGAAGCCAAAGTCTGCTCTCTTGAAGTACAGGGCAGTGAGCTCACTGCATGCTCTTCTCACTGCTCTGAGGATCTCAGACTCCACCATTTTGTGATCACTGCATCCAAGGCTGACCTGGAGCATCACATTCCTCACCAGCCCCTCCCTGTTGGTGAGCACAAGGTCAAGCATTCAAGCATGGCACCTCTCTTTGTTGGCTCATCCAGCAATTGCAAAAGGAAGTTGTCCTCCACACAAATGTGGAACCTCCCGGATTGCTTGTGCCGTGATGTACTCTCCCTCCAACAGATACCAGTGTGATTGAAGTCCTCCCTGAGGACAACAGCCTGAGAGCATGAGGCTGCTCCTATCTGACTATAGAGGGCTTCATCCACACTCTCCTCCTGATCAGTGGTCCGTAGCAGATCTCCACAGTAATGTCCCCCATCACAGTTCTCCCTTTGATCCTAAGGCACAGGCTCCCAGTTGGCCCATCACCCATCCCTAGGCAGAGTCCCATACTCTCCAGCATATCATTGACTTAAATAACTACAACCCTCCCCTTCTGCCTGGTCCATCTTTCCTAAAAAGCCTACAACCTTCCTTTCCACCATCCCAATCATAAGAGCCATCCCAATCATAAGAGCCATCCCAAAATGTTTCCATAATGCCAGTGATAACATACCCCTGTAGACATGCACACACGTGGGTCGGTGAGGAAGGTCCAGAATAAGAGCAGAGGAAGAATCCTGTGAGACTGCAGCATATGAGGAGAAGACAAAATTTTATGCTTTCAGAGCAGGAATTTCCATAAGCCACTATGTCCAAACTTTTGTCAGGACTTTAACTTCAGAGATAGACTCGAAAAGTTTCTCCTTTCCCCTTTCTTCCTAGCCAAAAACTGTCATTGCAAAGGACATCTCCCCTCACCTCCCCTCTTTTTTTTGCTGTCAGAAGTATAGCAGCCTTAAGCAATTAGCAGCAAACCTTGTGTTGGAACAATGAAACTGCTGAACAATAGGGACAGGCTCATTATTTTGAGAGACCCAGCCTATGATAATCTAGGCAAGGAACGCCAATTTACTGCCAGAAGAACTGCTGGTTAGTACGTTACTAACGTCACTGCATTTCGAGCTTGAAACAAAGTGTTTCACAAAATCAGTTTCTTAGTCCCCCAATCACACACATACACTGGGAGTTAGAATCTGATGCTGAGAGCAGCGGTGTAACTTAATCTGTGGCCCAAGACAACTAGTATGGCTCACTCTTCTGGGGACAATCTAGGACTGGGATGCATACCAGACACATTCTTGGAGGCTGGCAGTAGCCATTTCCCAAGAGTCCAAGACTCCTCTAGCATGATGCAATGGCCACAGAAGTATTAACAGTGAACAGACCAATCTTCATGCAGCTTAAACAAAGGGGACATTTATTGTCTCTGTTTTGACTTTTCAGATAGCCTCAAGCCACATTTTTTCTCTTTACTGTGCAGAGCCTGAAATTTGACAAGTGTGTCATGAAGTACAGAAACTTGTGTAGAAGATTAACTATTACACATTTCAGTCAGTGTGACAGTCAAGTTCACTGTTTTTTAATCATCTCCTGCTGTAAAACTATAGTGATTGCTTGTAGGTAGCCACAGCACTCAAGATTTTTGCTATCATCCGTTTAATCAACTGCTGTCCCAGGTTCAACTGCTCTGAACATGGTAAAGACTAGTGACTGAAGCCCCAAAGGGTGCAGTTCCATGGTGCAATGCAGAGGGACTTGGTCACTTCCCCATGCTCAGGTGCATCTGGGCAAGGTCTTCACCCTTACACTTTCTCTTAATGGGGTTTCTCTTCCCAACAGTGCTCTGCTTTTACAGCTGCTCACTTTGGCAGGACTCTTAGAGCTGTAACTTCTCATTTGAATTTACTCATTATTTCCACTACACTTTGGTTTTGCTTTTGCCATTTAATTCATTGGCTAAGTATCTGAACAACTCTTTCTTACAGCAATGAAGTCACTGCTTATGGGCACAGGGCAGCAACTGTACTAGAGACAGCAGAGGTATCGAAGAACAGGAACTGCCCTTGGCAGCTCCACCCTGGGGCAGCATGGGGCCCAAGGAGCCTATGGGTGTAGAGAAAGTGATGCCAAGATTACATCAGCACATCCAACAAACAGGACTGGAGTGCAATTACTCGAAAGGAAGTTGTAGTGAGGTGGCAGTTGGTCTCTTCTCAAAAAAAAACAAGCAATAGGACAAGAGGTAATGGGCTCAAACTGTTCTAGGGGAAATTTAGATTGGAGAGAGGGTGAACAGGCATTGGAATGGGCAGCCCAGGGAAATGGTGGAAACTCCATCCCTCGTAGTGTTGAAAAACCAGTGTAGGCGAGTCCCTTAGTGACATGGTTTAGTGGTGAACTTGGTACTCTTGGGTAAAGGTTGCACTTGATCCTCCTCTGTGGTGCCAGTTCGCCACCCACCACCGCGGGCCGCCGACAGGGCCGTAAAAGCACCAGGCCCGGACCCAGCTCCGCTCTCGGACCCTTCCCGGAAGGTCCGCTTCCGGGCCCTTCCGCCGCCTGCCCCGCCACGCCGGAGGGGGCGCTCTCCCGCGGCCATGGCCCTGCCTCTCCGCCCCTGAAGCCGGTGTACGGCAGTGGCGACGCTCGGTCGGGGGAGGAGGCGGAAGTGGGAATCGCGGCGATGGCGGCAGCTGGCATGGGGCAGCAGTGGGTGTTAGTGGAGATGGTGCAGGCCTTCTACGAGGTGCGGCCTGGGGAGCGGGACCGAGGTGCTGTCCGAGCGGCGGTGCGGGCGGCTGGGGCGGCCGAGGCGGCCGAGGCGGCCGAGGCGGCTGAGGCGGCCGGGGCGGCCGAGGCGGCCGAGGCGGCCGGGGCAGGGGGTCCCCGGCTCAGGAAGTTGGCAGGCACTCGCCGCCGAGATAGGATGGAGTGAAGGTGGTGTCGCCGCCGCCTCCCGGAGGACGGGGCCCTCAGTCGCCCAGTGGCTGCCGGAGCTTGGGCGATTCGTGTGAGGGCGCCCTGTCCCTGGGCCGCTGGTTTCGGGTGCTGGGAGCAGGATGTAGAGCCGGACCAGCCGCGGGGCCGGTAACCGGTGGGGCTGGCGCTGTGTTGGGTGGAGGCACTCAGGGTGGTGCCGTCCCTCGCTGCACTGAGCCGGGATCTGGCTGGGCATCACTGCCGCGTCTGTAGGGCTTCACGGGCAAAATAGTGAATATGTATGTGTGCAGCGTGCTTGTATATTGAAAAAAAAAAAAAAGATGTTTTTCTCGTTTGTAGAGCTACATTTAAGGTGTATACCACAGCATTAAGCCTTAATAAGATTCACTGTGAATATAATAAGATCAGGGTTTGTGACTTTTAAGTGTTATTTAGAAAAGTAAGAAACAACTTTTAAATGTTTGTGCTTAGGTTGTCTGCTGGAGGGGATCACCATGGCATGTTTCATAGAATCATAGAGTGGTTTGGGTTGGAAGGGAACTTACAGGTCATATAGTTCCACAGCCCTGGCATGGGCAGGGACATCTTCCACTAGACCAGGGTGCTCAATGACCCATCCAGCCTGGCCTTGAACACTGCCAGGGATGAGGCAGCCTCAGCTTCCCTGGGCAACCTGTTCCAGTGCCTCACCACCCTCACAGTGAAGGAAAAAATAAGTTTGTATCCAGGCTTTGTTTCATGACATTAAAAATTTTGTCCTGGTGATAGACTGTGTTCTTATATAAAGTCTGCTTCCCTCCTTTCCTTTGGCAAAGGTTGATACATTTTAAATAATTTATACTGCAGTTTGCAGTACAAACATAGAAGTGCTTAGCATAGTCTAAACTGCTGAATTCAGAAAAACCGTAGACACTGAAAAGCATGGGCAGGTAGTTTGTGTGGACTTCTACTGCTACTATACTGTTTGTTCTTTAGATGCCATGGTATGTGTCAGGTTGGACAGAGCCTTGGGCAATACGGTGTAGTGTGAGGCATCCCTGCCCATGGCAGGGGGTTGGAATTAAATGATAGAATCATAGAATAGTTAGGGTTGGAAAGGACCTTCATCTATTTCCAGATGAAGGATCATCTAGTTCCAACCCCCCTGCCACGGGCAGGGACACCTCACACTAAACCATATCACCCAAGGCCTCGTCCAACCTGGTCTTGAGCACTGCCAGGGATGGAGCATTTACCACTCCTTTGGGTAACCTGTTCCAGTGCCTCACCACCCTCAGAGTAAAGAATTTCCTCCTTATATCCAGTCTAAACTTCCCCTGTTTAAGTTTGAATCCATTACCCTTTGTCCTATCACTACAGTCCCTAATGAAGAGTCCCTCCCCAGCATCCTTATAGGCCCCCTTCAAATACTTGGAAGGCTGCTCTGAGGTCTCCACGCAGCCTTCTCTTCTCTAGGCTGAACAGCTCCAACTTTCTCAGCCTATCTTCACACGGGAGATGCTCCAGTCCCCTGGTCAGCCTCGTGGCCCTTATCCCAACTTGTTCCAACAGTTCCATATCCTTTTTCTTTTGAGGACACCAGAACTGTACACAGTACTCCAAGTGAGGTCTCACAAGAGCAGAGTAGAGGGTCAGGATCACCTCCTTCGACCTGCTGGTCACGCTCCTTTTGATCTTAAGGTCCTTTCCAACCCAAACCATTCTATGATACTATGTTTATATATGTCTATTGTTAATATGCTTGGTGAGCTGAAATGTACTCTGCAAATGGTAATATTTTTGTAATTTTGTTTTTATTTTTTTAGTTTGATATGTCATAGAACTGGTTTCAAAATCTTGTGTTCAATTTCCCTTAGTTTTTGGATGTGTGGTTCATTCCACTTCCTTTGTTGGCAGGTCAGATCCTACCTGAGAATGCTGGTGAGTGGGAGCTCTTCCCTTGAGTTGAAGAGGAAGTACACTAGTGTGTGTGCGTTTTAAGTTTTTTAAAAGTAGTAGATATCCGAAGTGTAGGCAGGAGCTTTTCTGAGATGGAATAACTTAACCCATCATTAAAATTATGTGGCAAGTGCTGATGCTGTAATTCCACATTTACTTCAAATGAGCTGTGCTGCCAGAGGAAACTGACTTTCCTACCTCCAAGCACCTAAAGAGGCTGACTTTAAGTTGGATCAGCTCTCTGTTCTGGTTTGCTGTATATATTCCTCAATCTTGTGTCCATGCAGAGGGTAAATGACACAGAAGTAAAACTGCTTCTGGTGACTGGGTTGGGTTATGCCTGTTCAAAGTGCCTGTGAAACAGGCCATGGACAGCCCATAGACCAAAATGGGCTATGCAGACAGGATTAGGTTTCTTTGAAAATAATTATAGCTCTGCAGCTGGTGGACTATGAGTTGTAAAAATGTAGGCTTGAAGTGAGTGTATATAGATGACACACACCTTCAAGCTCTTCAGGAGACTTCTGCTTGTTGTGAAAGCTTTCTGCTTTCACAGATACTTGTGCAAACCGTACTGCCTTTATTCCCAGTATTCAGTTGTGTGCATGTGTGGAACTGAAGCCACTTGTCAATTTAGTGTGCCTTGTTTATTAGCAACAGAATAAATCCATTGAAACTCAACAGCTACAAGTACTAGTTGCAAGGCAGTCCATTTTCATATAGCTTTTGCTGGTTTAGAAATACATATCAGTTGATCACCTTTGTTTTTTTTCTGAGTCGTCTAGTAGAGACAAAACTGTTGCATAGTGTCACACTGATTCAGATAGAATTCTGTGTAGACTTATTTTTGTGCTTTTATTTTCAGGCTCCTACTTACCATCTCATTTTAGAAGGAATTCTGATTCTATGGATAATCAGACTTCTTTTCTCCAAGACATACAAGCCTTCAAGAGCGATCTGATTTAACACCTAAGGTATAAATACTTTTCCTAGAGAAATATTTTATAGCTGTCAATACATTTGGTTGTTGAACCCCTCCTGCATCACAAAATGTGATTTCTTTTTCTTAGGATTTCAAAGGATAAGCTTGCTTTGTACTAAGAAACTACTTATTGCTTAAACACTTCAGTTCATGCTTTTAAAGTGGGACTATGTTTGAGAGTCTGAGAAATACAAAAGAACTGATGTGAACGTAACTGCTAAGCTGTGAAAAACTGACATTAGTTCTTCTTAATGAATGGCTTTGTTTAAAAATGAAAGCTATACTAAAAAAATCCCCCACCAAATAAAATGAACTGAAAGAGTGTAGAGAGCAGGAAAATGATCAGTCTACACACATGGTATCTGTGAGTAACAAAACTGAGAATTTGAAGTGTTAAGTGGGTTCCAAAACATTTTTCATTTATTAGCAATTTTCTTCTTTTGCAATGCCGTTGACTGACATTTCTTCCTGACTTCTGGCTGGAGACTATCAGGAAAGAATAGAGTTTGGTTTGGAGATCTCCCTGGACTATTTTGTCAGAGACATTGTCTGTAATTGTGCACGCTGTATAATGTCAGAGGATGCCATTGGATATATTTAAAGTATTATAGGATGAAGTCTCTGAATGTGAAAATAAAAAGGACATGAGCAGGGACATGCTTATTTTTCTCAGCCAAAGAGGAAGATGGAAGCAGTGTTTTCCATAGGAGGAGCTCTATTTGGAAGAGCCTGTCTTGTCTACAGGTAGTTTATTGAAAGTAACCATAAATACAACACCAAAGTGAAAGCGTGAATAAGACTTTTACAGTTCGTGGACTTAAGCAGACTGACACATTAGAGGTTTTGGAGTGATCCCACCTCTTACTCTGTAGTGTAGGTGATAGCTGGGAAAAGAGTTAATTTATTTTGTGTAGAGAAATAGCTGTGTGGGGAATTAAAAAACCCCAAAACTACAACCAAACAACAACAAAAAGAAAAACATGACAAAACAACTAACCTGAATCTTCACTAAAAATTTACAGATAGCTGATACTGGTCTGTGTTGTGGGTTAATCCCAAGTAGGCAGCTAATCGCCGTTCAGCTGCTTGCGCACTGTCTCTTCCACACCCATGGGACAGGAAGAGAGGAGAGGAAGAGTAAAGGCAAAAAAAGTTGTGAGTGAAGATAAGATTGTTCAATAAGCAAAGGGGAAATGGGAGAAGAGAGAAAGAAGACAAGTGATGCTAAAGCAATTGCTCACCATATCCCATGGGTGTACCAATACCCAGCCAGTTCCTGAGCAAAAGATGTCTAACTTCCCTAAACCTCCTCTTTTCCCTTTTATTGCTGAGCATGAGATGGTATGGTATGGAATATCTGTTTGGTTAGTTTGGGTCATCTGCCTAGTTGTGTCCCCTCCCAACCTCTTATGCACCCCCCAGTCTATTCACTGTGGGGGCAGAGTGAGACACAGAAGATCTTAACACTGTGCACTGTTCAGCATGTTATCTACATTAGCATGTTATCAGGATTGTTTTGGTCACAGACCTGAAACACAGTGCTACATGAGCTGCTAATTAAAAAAAAAAAAAAAAGTAACGCCATCCCAGCCAAACGCAGTACAGGCTGTTTCATACTGTATGGTATGCCACACAGCCAGGCTTCTGCGTGTGTGTTGAGCTGCGTGTAGTAACATGCCAGTTGTTCAGCAAGGAGGCTGCTGATTTGCCTTCTGGTTGGTTCTTGTTTGATTCATGCTGTGTTGTTCAGTCTTTGGCGCAGCAGAAAGGAATTCTAGGTTGCTCTGATACAGGCACTGGAGATAGGCCAGCTCAGGAGGTGGAGCTCAGGTTACCTTTATGTCAGCCACTTGTGTAATGATACTTTGATATCAGCATAATAAATACTACAGAGGAATACCACTAGTGCACAGACATTTTAATATGGTATGTCATGCCTAGTCTGTCCTGGGGAAGCATAGGTAGATGATACATTGTGCAACCTAGTGTACTTAGGAGTCATACTTCTAAAATAGTGAAGAAATCTGCCCCAAAGGTGGCTTCTGGGTTTAGTCAAACATGTAGCAAGAGAACTATGAAATCTAGTACAGGAATCAGCTTTTAACTGACTGTGTCATCCCTTAACAACAGTGTTTGTAGGTAGTCCTACTGGTTCTTTTCCAAAGTAATGAAATCTGCCAAATCATTAACTAAAAACATGTCTGTAAGTTCCTGATGGTTGGGATTTTGGGAAGTACAGGTAAGTCTGTGGCCAGACAAGGTGCTGGACATAGAAGTTCCTGTGGGCTTTTAGCCCAAAATAAAATCTATAGGCAAGTGGCAAAGTGCCACTGAGGACTGGAGCAGGCTCTGGGTAATTGCATGACATCATGTAGCTACAAGCTCATTCTCCAGCCAACAACCATTTGTCTGAAAGGAGAGTGCCCTTCCAATGTATATGTCTTTCACTCTGTATATAGTAAATGTTACTGAGCTTTTATCTCAAAATAGCTGAAGTCCTACTAGGAGCCATGTTTTAACCATTTGTAGGTGGGAGGAATAGTTGTTGTCTTTGGTTTTAGAATTTTCACTGCAGAGTAGCATGAGAACTATTTTATTAGAGTGGTATTAGGAGGATGGAAAGTTCCTGTCAGAGACAAATGTTTGATTCGGGGCTAAGAAATACTGTAGGTGACAATTGTTTTCTCTTGCAGGAGCAGCATTCAGATTGATCTGATGTTGTTCTGCAGGGATGAGCAGGTGTAGTCTGTTCTTGCAAAGGTTTTCAGTTATTTTGAGCAAAGACTCCCTATGTAGGTGAAGATTCTCTTAAGTATGAGCATAGTTTGAAAACTCAAGCCACAGTTTGGGCCTATTTATGCCATGCTGATACATGATTCTGTAAATACCATGAAATTAAAGACCCGTTATTTGAGGACCAGCAGATAAAAAAAAATGCTAACTTCTGGATCATGAAATACATGCATGCATGACATGACAGTGGTTGAAAACACTAGTGCTAGCTAAGAACTGTTTTCATGAATATAATTGCTACCTTTTCTTAAAAACCATGGTCAACAAAGCAATTGATTTTAGTAATTCAGGTTAGATGTGTTTATACCCAAATATTTCTCTTATCAAAGGTATCTGGTGTTTAAAAAGTACAAACCACAAAAAATGAAATACAACCACCCAAATTCATTTTATTTAAATGTATACATGTGTGTATATTTAGCTAAACACATTATTTATATGTATGCACAAATGTATTAAGTGTGTTATAAAAGGTACATATAAACATTTTATATCTCATATGTCCCAGAGTATTGTCTATTAATACAATTTGGTGGCTATTTAGGAGAAAAAGATTAAAATGCTGTCACAAATGTGGAGTTGCTGTACAAAAAGCCTGCTTCTGCTCTGGCCCTTTGGTCAAAGGGAGATGGTCACATTTACCCTGACAAGTCAGCAGGACAGGCCAGTCTGCTGAGATATTTGGTGACTAAAAGGGGTGTGGACTGTCACATCTGCAGCGTGGATGGCAGTTTTAGGTTGAGATGAGTACTCATTTTAATCACCAATATCTCCAATCCCCCACCATAATGAAAGAACTTCTGTCACAGAAGCTTTTGGTAGACGACTGTCCTAAGTACTTGTGGAAAGAGCCAAGGCATAGAATCATAGAATAGTTAGGGTTGGAAAGGACCTTAAGATCATCTAATCCAACCCCCCTGCCATGGGCAGGGACACCTCACACTAAACCATATCACCCAAGGCCTCGTCCAACCTGGTCTTGAACACTGCCAGGGATGGAGCATTCACAGCCTCCCTGGGCAACCTATTCCAGTGCCTCACCACCCTAACAGGAAAGAATTTCCTCCTTATACCCAATCTAAACTTCCCTGTTTAAGTTTGAACCCGTTACCCCTTGTCCTATCACTACAGTCCCTAGTGAAGAGTCCCTCCCCAGCATCCTTGTAGGCCCCCTTCAGATACTGGAAGGCTGCTATGAAGTCTCTACGCAGCCTTCTCTTCTCCAGGCTGAATAGACCCAGCTTTCTCAGCCTGTCTTCATATGGGAGGTGCTCCAGTCCCCTGATCATCCTCGTGGCCCTCCTCTGGACTTGTTCCAACAGTTCCATGTCCTTTTTCTGTTGAGGACACCAGAACTGCACACAATACTCCAGGTGAGGTCTCACCAGAGCAGAGTAGAGGGGCAGGATCACGTCCTTGGACCTACTGGTCACGCTCCTTTTGATGCAGCCCAGGATACGGTTGGCTTTCTGGGCTGCAAGCGCATACTGCCTGCTCATGTTCATTTTCTCATAAACCAACACCCCCAAGTCTTTCTCCGCAGGGCTGCTCTCAATCTCTTCTCTGCCCAACCTGTAGCTGTGCTTGGGATTGCCCCAACCCAGGTGTAGGACCTTGCACTTGGCATGGTTAAACTTCATGAGGTTGGCATCAGCCCACTTCACAAGCATGTCAGGGTCCCTCTGGATGGCATTCCTACCCTCCAGTGTATCAACTGAACCACACAGCTTGGTGTCATCGGCAAACTTGCTGAGGGCGCACTCAATCCCACTGTCCATGTCGGCGATGAAGATGTTAAACAAGACCGGTCCCAACACTGATCCCTGTGGGACTCAACTTGTTACTGGTCTCCAGCAGGACATTGAGCCATTGACCACAACTCTTTGCGTGTGGCCATCCAGCCAGTTCTTTATCCACCGAGTGGTCCAACCATCAAATTGATGTCTCTCCAATTTAGAGACAAGGATGTCGTGTGGGACAGTGTCGAAGGCTTTACACAAGTCCAGGTAGATGACATCAACTGCTCTACCCCTGTCCATCAGTTCTGTAGCCCCATCATAGAAGGCCACCAAATTGGTCAGGCAGGATTTCCCCTTAGTGAAGCCATGCTGGCTGTCACCAAGCACCTTGTTGTTTGTCATGTGCCTTAGCATGCCTTCCAGGAGAATCTGCTCCATGAACATGCAGTTGTTTGTTGTTTTTATTCCTACATCTGTCGTAAAGCAAAATGCTAAGTAATGGATGAGAATGAACGTGATCTAGAATTAGTGATACAGCATTGTTTGAAGCAAGGATTAGTCTTCTGTATTTTTGTGTTGAGAAAAATAAAATCAGGATACTGCCGCATCTCATCTGTGGTTTGTCACCTATGCAGTTAGTGTGCTGCAGACATTTCAAAGGGCAAATTGGAAACTTCTTGCAACTTAATATAACTGGGGAAGCGAAGTACTAATTATGAATTGCTCATTGTCTTCATGTTCACAGATTTTGACTGCAGTTGTACTATGCTAATTTATTTTAGTTACAGTGTCCTATAAATACTGTTTTTCTTTCTGCTAGATTCCACACAGAAAGATTTTAATTGAATTTGTGTGTCAGTTCCTAAGCTGCTTGGTGATATTTCTTTTTACTCTTAGTTCAAAAAATTAGATTTAAATGAGAAATCTAAGTATGTGCTTGCAGAGCTTCAGTTCTGCCTTCTCTGAAGAGAAGAATAGGTATATTATGTTGAATGCTTTGCCTTTGAACCATGTGGTATAAAAGCTGCTCAAATATTATTTGCCTTCAAGTCCTAAATAGAAGAAACACTATGCTTGTAAGTCCTTTCCCTTTAGGCATTTGATGTCATTTAATGCCTTTCTTATGTCCTTTCAGAACTGACAGGCTGCACCACTTCTCACCTGATTTGCTCTGCTTCCTTACTAAAAAGCCAGCAACAACCAAAACAACCAACCAACAAAAAACCTCAGCATCCTCCCAAAAAATCAGCCAAACAAACAAAAACCCCAAGGCTCCCCAAACCAACAAAACCCCAAACTCTGAGCTCTAAAATGAACACAAAACTGCTGATAACAAGCTACACCATACATCAGGACTTTAGGGCCTTTTGACACCAGCTGTTACACGAGCAGAGTGAAGGCTGCATGAGCATACATACATCCTGCTTTCTGTTTTTTCAGAAGTCTCTTTGAACCCTTGTGAAGAGGGCTAAGCTGCTGCTGGGCAACTGTAATTCAAGATATGGTTTCCTGGTAGCATCAGCCAGTCGAGGTTGGGACTACTTTGCTGTAGGACCTAGTTCAGCTATATATCCATTCTGCTTTTCCTGAGTTAGTTTTCATCTGGTTAATTTTTCTGAGGAAGGTTATTGTCTGCTTTTGTAACTACCAATACCTAAACAAGGAACAGAAGTGTGTTTGTGGTTGAGAGCACTGTACTGTAGCAGCTGCTGGTTTGCAGTGCTGTGAGTCAGCACATTTGGTTTTAAATTGTCTGTGGTATTTTTTTCCAAATAGCAGTACAGTATAAAAATGCACCCTAGTACCTGTTCTGAGATGAGGATGGAACTGCCACTCTGTGTTGGATTAATGGAGTTCAGCATACAGGGTTGTGGTTCTAACTCTGAGATTAACCTGAACTTGGATAATGCTTTTGCACCATTTTGGTACTGTTTTCACATGTTAATTGTCATAGGTTATATCATCTGGTAGCCTTCTCCCTTAGGGTTCTTGAGGTATTTGCTGGGTCATGTCAAACACTAGGTCTGAAAAGAGAATGTAGTAATTAATAATAGTTGATAGTATTTATTACTGGTTTATTCTCTGGTGCTGAGTTACCTATTTGGATTTTTTTTTTTTTTAATTGAAGCATTAAATTCTGCTGCCATGCTTTGGGTAGCTCTAGTACAGGGTGAATTAATAAACCCCCCTACTTTAATGCTTTCCTTAATTTGTGGTACAGCATTTCAGTGCATACATAGCTGTGTGCAAGGCTCCAAATGGGGTCTGTGCTATGGTGATTAAAGAAACTAAGCACTTTTTCTAACATAAATGTAGCCACTTCAAAATATTGAGTATATTCAGTTCTGTTGCACATATTAATGGCATTTTATTTCCTTTAAAACCTATGCCACATGGGTTACATTTCAGTAAGAAATCTAACATAGGGAAGTTAAATAAAAAGGTATTTAAACTACATCTGCAAAATATTAGAAACACAAGTGACTATGCTCACATAAGAAGGATCTTTTCTGAAATAGACAGCTATTAAAATTTCCATTTGAGTTTTGAAATAGACCCTTGTGGAGCTCCTGGAATATTAATTAGTATTCTGGAATTACCTAGGAACGAAGTTATTCATTAGTTTAGTGAAAGGAAACTGATGAAAATGCAGGAGACTGTGTTGTATGTAGTTTCTTTTTGGTTGTATCTTAATTTGGTTTTGTTTGTCAGAGGCTTTGAAAATTGTATTTTAAATAAAGGAAAAATACTGCTGTGGTGTTTTTGAAAATTCATTTCAGAATTTATATTTTAATATTGAAATAATTAGCCTTATATTCTACTGCTTTTGTACATAATAGAGAAACATAAACCATTTGTAGTTATATCATTCAAAGTTAGTGTGTCTACAAATATGTTAGCAGGTGTGTTTTGCTGTGCTAGTAAATAATGCTTCAGGAAAGTTCTGCTTTCATGGTATGAAGGATGATTCTGGTGATTTGCCTGAGTGGTTCCTAATATATGTGAAACTAATCTAACGCACCTGTTATGCTGGTCTACTGCATGTCCTTTGGAAAATGAGTCTAACTGAGGTTTTTCAAATAGTTAAAGCACTTTAAAAATAAATGTGCATTCAGTATTCCTCCATGGTTAGGAGGAGGGCATGTGGTTTAGAAGCTCTTACTGCCATTTCTTGATCATTTGACAGTTTTTCTGCACTGTGTCCTGCTCACGTATGTGTTACTTTGCTAAGTATTTTAATGCCACACTTGCTTTAAACAGCACTGTCAAAGACTTGAGAATATAAAGTGAAGCCATTTATATTCACTTATTATGTACTTTGTATTCAGTTACATAAACTTTAGAGGAGATTTGTAATAATAGATTGAATGATACAGTATTGATTAAAATTTGGCAGGGATACCAAGTTAGTATATCTTCTCTTGATTATAATATGATGAGATCTTTAATGCACAGGCACAGCTGGGCTATCTTTCTTTATATTTCCCTCCTTTTGAAGAATTTGGAGCCCCTCAGCTGAACGTATTGAGATAGTATCAATTCTTAGTATCTCAGAAAGGTGACACATATTAGGATACATAATTTCTGATACAACTATTACCAGCTGTTTATTAGTGCATGATGTCTCTTCTAATGGGAATCTTTCTGAGAAGTATTCCTTTTCTCCTGCTCAGGAAAAAGAAGAGTTGATTGAAGAATGGCAGCCAGAGCCTCTTGTACCTCCTGTGCCAAAAGATCACCCAGCTCTCAACTACAACATTGTTTCAGGGTAAATGTAACCAAAATAAATTCTGGGTTTTATTTTAACTCGGATACGTAACGTCCATATTTTTAAGCATATTTCTTAGTAAGCATTTCCATATTTTTAAATCCTTTCATAAATGAGCTTCATTTTTAGATAGCAGAATGAATTTGCCACTGAAGAGGTGCTTGCTTTTGCAACATTATCAAGACTATCTTATTAAGAAAGTATTTCTTACTTTAAATGTTAGGGTTTGCCTTGGGGTGGGTTTTTTTTTGTTGGTTGGTTGGTTGGTTGGGTTGGTGTTTTTTTTGTATTGAGAGTGGAGTGGGAACACTTTGTCTTCATTGTGGGTCTGTATTGTGTGTTAGTAATTTATTTCATTCTTTCTGAATATGTAGACTTAGACATCCAATAGTGGTTACCACCTTTGTATTAGGGGTTGGGGAGGAAAAACACTCATCACAAATCACTACAGAAGAAACTGATTTTGCAGCTAGCCACTTGACACTTCATGAAAAGTTGTTCCTCTTTGGACTATCAGAAGTGGAGATGATTATGTTGCTTTGTGAGGAAATGATGGTTCAGTATTCCTTGTGTGTTACAAGGCTTTTAAAATGTATAAAGACTTAGGCAAGAGTCACAGTATTTCAGAGATTGCTTTAAAATTTCTTCCACAGGCTTCAGATTTGTCAGTAACTTTTACAATATAAGCATTCTTAATATCCTTCTAGTGACCCAATAATTTAAAATAAGTCAGTGACAGAGCACAATTATTTGCTGTCATAGGGAACTCCATTTTGATGGTTCTGTCACCATAGAAAAGTGTGCCTCAGAAAAGAGATGTCTCTTTTAATCAACTGTGATGTGAATAATCCTTTATTGTTCAGAATTTTGAAACAAGCTCTACTGTGGACTTAAGAAAAGTGTTGCGTGTTTAAAAAAACCCTGAACAAATAGTCATAGTGCATAGCATGGTTTGGCCTGGAAGGGATATCAAAGATGATCTCATTCCAACCCTCCTGCCATGGGCAGGGACACCTTCCGTCTCTTGGGTTTTTTTTGCAAGGTGCTCACCAGCAGCATTTATTTGGTTTTCAGAGAGTCTCAGTGCTTACCAGAGGGGTTTGTTCCATTTCAGGGTGTTACGTTTCTTATGAGGCGTGATGCTGGTTTGGGGTACTTGTGAATTTGGAGAAGGTTTGTCTTGTTTCGGGCAGTGTCTTCCACTCGAGGTTTTGCTCCATTTTTGTGGTATGCCGCTGCTCATAAGTGGCAACTACCTTACATCATCCCTTACATGTGTACATACAACTAGCATCTGACTTGGTGACTGTGTGACCACCCAAAGCAGCCCTGAAAGCATAAACCTAGTGTTGCCTTGAAAATGAAGCTATAATTTCCCCCTTTCTTAAGGAAGTTGTGAGCTTTCCTACGACTGACAGCACTGTTGTGAGCAGGCACCTTCCTCTCATTTTTAGCAATAATAGACTCAGTTCTGTCCTGCTGCCTCAGAAAGGGCAAGGTCCTACATCTTGATGAGGCAAGCCCAGGCACAGCTACAGATTGGGTGGAGAAGTGATTCAGAGCAGCCCTGCAGAGAAGGAGTTGGGGGTATTAGCTAATGAGAAACTGAACATGAGCCAGCTTCAGTGTGCACTCGCAGCACAGAAACCACCCATATCCTGGGCTGCATCAAAAGCAGCGTGACCAGCCAGTCAAAGGAGATGATCCTGCCCCTCTACTCTGCTCTTGTGAGACCCCACTTAGAGCGCTGTGTGCACTTCTGGTGTCCTCAACAGAAGGACATGGAGCTGCTGGGACAAGTCCAGAGGAGGGCCATGAGGATAAGGAGACTGGAGCACCTCCTATATGAAGGCAGGCTGAGGAAGTTGGGTCTGTTCAGCCTGGAGAAGAGAAGGCTGCGTGGAGACCTCATAGCAGCCTTCCAGTATCTGAAGGGGGCCTGCAAGGATGTTGGGGAGGGACTCTTCATTAGGGACTGTAATGATAGGACAAGGGGTAATGGGTTTGAAGTTAAACAGGGGAAGTTCAGCTTAAATATAAGGAAGAAGTTCTTTACTGTGAGGGTGGTGAGGCAGTGGAATGCGTTGCCCAAGGAAGTGGTAAATGTTCCATCCCTGGTAGTGTTTAGGATCAGGTTGGACGGAGTTCTGAGCACATGGTTTAGTGTGAGGTGTCCCTGGGTATGGCAGGGGGGTTGGAACTATCTGATCTTAAGGTCCCTTCCAACCCTAACCATTCTATGCTTTTATGGTATGTGCCAAAATCTGTAGGTGTAGGCCTGCTCTTCTGAATATTTACAAGCCACATAATAGGACTTCTAACATTTGGTACAGCTTGTTGATGAGCAAGACCGAGGAACAGATCCAGGTTTGTTTTAATGACAGTTTCCCAAGACAGTAGCATATGTGTAATGCTACTACTGTGCAGGAGATGTGCTACAGTAATGCAGGATTGCTCCTATATGGGGTCAGGTTCAACTTGTGTCAGTTTAATGTCATGGAATGGCAGTGTTGAACATGCACAGCACATGTACTCCTTTAGTAGAAAGCTTTCCAAAGCAGTTTAGTAAGCTTTGCAATTGATTGGATAAAGTAACGTGTTTTATTTTTCAAGGGAACAGATCTAAAAACTTTGAGGGTTTTTTAGGTGAAGTTCAGGCAGTTCAGTGTTTTTGTTAATTTGTAATGTGTATCTTGGACTTTAGAGTTTACTTGCTTTGCACACCAAATGTAGCTATTGAAATACTGTCAGCAGCCAGGTTTGGAGCAGCTGTGCGCAGACATTTGAGCAGCCTTGCTTTATTTTGATTGCGAAAACTGCTCAGTGCTCAGTGCTAGTTTCCGCATTGGAAAAGCTTGTTGAGATTTCTGAGTTTGAGGAATAATATAGGACTTCAACTGTAATATTTGACTATACATACAGAAATGGGCAGATGTGAAGTTTTATCTTTGATTTACCTTTGAGACTTCTTTGCACTGAGTCATTATTAAAACTTCTAATTTTGTAGTATTGAAGTATATAACTGCTTTTAAGATAGATGAGATGCTTGCCATAATAGCTGTTTTTATCTTAGATTTTTAATAACTGCTTATCTAAATCATAATCTTTTGGGGTAGAAAATTTCTCTGCCCTTTGCTTCATATACATCATGCACTCGTTCATTTGTGAATATTGTGTTTTCAGACTTTGTGTTTCTTGATTACATGAATTATTCAAACTGTTATGGGTTAAACAGAATTGGAAACTTGAGATGACAATATGAAACTTGATAAGACAATACTTTTGCCTGCTGACAGCTACTATTTGTATTTCAGGAGCTGTGTTCAGTATAAGATTGGTGGTGTGGGTTCTGTGACAAAAACATCAGTTTTAAATTAATTTTTATCATGGAATTAAGTAGGAACTAAATTTCCTTTTTTATTTGTAGTTTTTCTTCTTTAAAATAGATTCCACTTTGCTTCTAAAGGAGAAGCTTTATATATCTCTTAATATATCTTTTCAGTATATATCTTCTGTAATCATCCTTTCAATAAAGAATCCCAAAACTAAGCATCTCGGGAAGGTGTTTATGGTTTATTTAAATACAGGAATAAATTTTTTGCTGAGTATAGTAGTATATTTGTGACTTGGCAAGGAACTTATATACTGACTGGCAGCTGCAAAGGAAGAAGTGTGAAGAGGGTATCTTGACAAAGCTGTGTGCTGTTTACAGTTGAAAAATGAAACTAGTGTACTGTTTGACTGTTCATGAAAATGGTAACAGTTCATAACAAAAGGTCTGTAATTTTTTTTCAGTCCTCCCACCCATATAATCACTGTTAATGGCAAGGAATGTATAAACTTTGCATCATTCAACTTTCTTGGACTTTTGGATAATGAAAAGGTTAAGGTGAGTTCTTCCAGTTACTGTATTTGTGCAGTTATTCCTCTTATACTTTGTGTGTTATCTTGAAATTAAGAGTGACTTCAGAAAGCACCAACTTTGTCAAGGAAGTATTCTTGTAAAGCAGCAAGGAGGATCATATACGTTTTAATTTTGTTCTAGTCAAGTTTGTCTTTTTACTGAAATTTCATCTGTCCTTTCTTCACAGTAACCAATTATCAAGTAAGATTAGTATCTAATGTCCTTAATCATTAGAATGCACTTGTCTAAAGTAGTTTTGATGTGAAATTAATTCACAGAATTCTGTTCGTTGTTATACTTTATGTAAAGCATGTCATATTACATGATGATTGGTATAAAATATGTGATAATTGGTATAAAATTCTCACTATGAAGTGTACAGAAGAGTTGGAAATTTAGTTTAGGAATAAGTATGTCATATAATTTTTTTCTTTCAAAGACTGCAGCCCAGGCATCTCTGAAGAAATACGGTGTTGGCACTTGTGGACCTAGAGGATTCTATGGTACTTTTGGTGAGTAACTTTCTCTAATCTGACAGTGTTCAGACTGTTTGGTAAGTCAGCCAAAATAGCCCTGTATATAAGCAGCAGATAATTTCTATTGCTGTGAATAACAGTTACCCTCTAACACACTTTTTACTGTAATTGTTAAGGATTGGTAGTGTTTATTATTAGTAGCTTTGTTTCTTATTCATTTTATGAGTTTCACTTACTTTTTGTAATGCTGGTGTTGGAAAATTGTGAAGTTAAATATAAACTGGTTTAGTTCTGGTCACCAAAGTAGAAAGGGAAAATAAACATACTAGAATTTAATCATGCATGGTGAATTTAAGTGTAAATTAATAGTTTTCTAAGTAGACCACAAGAGGGCAGTCTGATTTCTATGATAAAAATTATAGTTAAGTTTATCTAATGCTGTGGTTAGAATGAAGTTTTCCTTTGCTGATAACTTTTAAGTTGTAATTAAGAGATTTTATGACACAAACAGGTGTTACTAAGGGTTTTTTCATTCTTTTAAGAAGTATAAGTTGTTAAATATCAGATTCTAGAAATAGTTCATTACAGGCATTTGGTATTTTGAAATACTGTATGGAAACCAAAAAGTAATATATGAATAGTTGCACAGTTGTAGGCTAAAACCATCAACTCATCATCTTGTGGACTTTCTGATCTTCCCAGAGGAGATGGAATTCACAGTGTGTTTGTGCTCAAATGATTTCCCAGATGTAGCTTTCTATAGCCTTGACTTGAAATCAAAACTAACTTGAACTTTTCTCAGTCAAGCTAGTCTTTTAAGTGATCAACCAGGAACTCTACCTGTTTCGATTTGTTAGAAGTTTATATATCAGAGCAAAGTTGAATCTTTGATACCAATCTTGCAGATTGTTCATTAGCATAAAACTACTACTCATTTCTAAAGCAGGTTCTGGTTGCCCCTTATTACTAGAGAGCTTTCAGGAACTGATCAGTTTCACAATGATCTGTTGGAATTCCTCCAAAATGCACTAACAAGCTCAAAGAAACTTGTGGACTAATGCCTCCTGTGTTTTGAGTTCAGGCTGGTTTTAAGTTTTATTAAACTTTGCTTCCTTCTAATAATTACTCAAAACAGACCGGTTAAATTTTCTTGTCTGTTAAGTGAGAGATTATTTGTGGTGTTTTCTGCCGCCTTTGAAGGTCTAATCCTAAGATCCAAACTGTATAGCTTTTGCATTGCGTTCATTGGCTTTTGAATTTTTGGGGTAAAAGCTCCATTTCACAAAGAAGGTCATATAATCTGTGGTATTGCTGCATGACATCACTAGTGAAGAAAGCAATTCTCCAAGTGGAGAACTGGTTGAAAATTGACAAACACCTGCTGTTCTTGGATCCCAAACTGCCCTCCTGTTCTCCCTTGAGTTTGAACATTGAGTATTGCAGCATTGTGAGTCTCTGATAAGCACTTCTTACATCAGTAATGTTGTATGCCTCAAACTTTTCACACAAATTTTCATGTGCTGTGACTTTAGTAAATGAGTTATGTTCAGAGCTATGTAGTTTCCTCTTACTTAACTATAGAGATTTTAACTGAGAATTGTCGAATGTTGTCACTCAGTTATCCTACCCCCTTTTAGGGGCTGATATATCAATATTGGAGATGTCTTTCTTTGGAAGCATTAGGTACCATCTTATAATTTATTTTGTATGGAGACTTGATTCTTCATATCTCTGCCTGTTTGAAGGGATTTTGTAGCTTTAGTAAGTCCCTACCAAGACATTTTTGTTTTATGCTGTATCCCTTGAAAACGGTATGCCTTTATCCTGTGATAAGCTTGAAATTCTAGTATATTCACACGTAACTGAATCTTAAAAGTTATTTTCTCCATGATGACAACTGAGGAGTGTATCGCTGTTTTGATGGTGGGGGTTTTTTAAGGCTATTGTTGGTTGCCTAACAGCCACAATTTCAGTACTACTGTGAAGACTGGGACTGGCTACCTGATAAAATATTTAAATTATGATGTGGAATTTGGTCTCGGTTCTGGTTTCTTGCTTTGGATTTGCATGTGAGCACATGTTGGGCACTGAACTGGTATTCATAAAGTTGTTGATAATAATAGCTTTATTAAGGTTTCCTAAGTATGTAGAAAGCTGTTCCAATCATATTTTCCTCTGTGCAAATGTACTCTAGGTAGTGTTTTTGGCTTTCACTTAAAGCTAAGCTAACTCAAATGTTGTAACCAGACAAAGCAAATCACTGCAATAAAGACTAGGAGAGTGAGGCAGTACTTTTTTTTTTGTCACAGTGGAATGGTAGTGAAGCTTTAATTCTGTGAAGCTTAATACTGTCTTAAGCTTTTCAACCTCACAATTATATGAAGCATTCATTACCTTATGTAATGATGTATCAAATTTGTGTATGCTGTATGTCAATTCTGAATGTAAATATTTTTGCCCTTGGCAAAAATTACTAGACTTGCAAATTTGTTTTTTTTGCATAACACAGATCTGATTATATTTGTTAACTGATTGTTATTGACAGTATCTCGTCTGCCTACTGTTCTTACCTAGACCTTGCTCATTGTAGTGCTGGTTGCTGCTGTGTGAAGTTCAGTGAGACTCAGGTTTTCATTTAACTGCAGTGATCTCATAATATTTTTTTTTTTTTTTAATTAAAGGATGTACATGGTCTTTTACATGCAAACAAAACATTTTTCTCCATTAGGTACCACTAGATAGCAAAAGGAAACTTTTCAACTAATAAGTGATTAAACTTTTTGTTTCCATTTAAAACTAGTGGAAAACCAAATAATTTGTTTTCGTTCCTTTTATTTTTGATGCTCAGGTAAACACTAGGAAAGGATTGTTGAAGATTTATAGCTTGCAGTCTCTGGATAAAATTGCTATTGACTGCAATTGGGAGACTGTTGTTTGAAGACATACCTTTTGGTTTTATTGTATAAATACATGAATTGGGTAGATGTGCTTTTTTGGGGAAAGGTTATGCTAAATGTTTTGAGTATGGCAAAGTTAAGTTTTTTACAAAGCTCTTTCTTCCTACACCCTTGCTGTTGGTACCTGGATAGAAATAGCAGCATTGATGTAACTGCCTCATAGGCTATTGAAGAATCTGTATTTTTAACTGATATTGCCTCATCTGATTTTAGTTCCAGTGTACTTTCAATAACTCCAGGAAGGTAATTTTGCCAATGATGATGTTTCAACATACTAAGGACCCCCACTTGCCTTTTAGTCTTATTTCCATTTGACAAAAGGCATAATTCTGACTAACATTTGCTAGCAGAAGCAGGTAGTGGCAAGAGAGATACATAATTAAATTAACAGTTGACCTGATACAGGTTATTTTGCTTAGGCAGAGTACTTAATGCTGTGGTCACCTTTCTGCAGGAACAATCCACTCGCTCTGTGGTATTGCCCTTCTTAATCTTTTGATTTAGTGGTATTTTGTCTCTAACATGGATCACTGACTGACTTAGTTTGGAAAATGCTTGTGTGTGTAATTGTGTCAATTTATCTTAAGCGTGAGTAATCCCTGGCATGCAGATGGTGACCTTTCAGTTGGCTGAAGTGCCTTCAGGAGATGGTATGTGATTGTAGCCTAACAAGAGCAGTTTTCTGTTATAATTATAGATGTGCTATATACAGTGGAAATACCAGCTTGGAAGAACTGACAGTCTGCCAACAGGACCTCATTAATTGCTGTAAATTACATGGCTATTTGTTGTCTGACTGTAGGAACTGTGCTCCCTAGTCACAGTACAGCAACACTGCATCATTTACCTGTGGTCTAATCCTAAATAGATTTTAATTGCCGTGGCATAAGAACATGAGAACCATATTACGTAAATATTTTAAAATCTATCAAAGCTTCTGATCAATACCAGATTACTTGTCAGTTCAAGGCTGGATTGATTGCAGCTGGTTTGGGGAAGTTACTTGATATAATACTCTTCCTACAAATAAACATTCTGTTTGCTTCTGTTGAATGATTGCTGAAAGCAATGATAATTTTTCTGATATGAAAGCAAGTAAACTATCTCAGATATTTTCAATTTTTCACCCAGATGTGCACTTGGAATTAGAAGAACGACTAGCAAAATTCATGAGGACAGAGGAAGCTATTATATACTCTTATGGATTTGCAACAATTGCTAGTGCTATTCCTGCATATTCAAAAAGAGGGGACATTGTGTTTGTGTAAGTATGATTTTCTACTTGGGAAATTCCAGATTAAGGAGTTTTTCCTTAAATTTTTCTTTTTCATTATTGTTAGTCATATTAACTATTTAAAAAATAATGCTGATTTTGACAAAGTATTTCGCTGTACAATGCTCCAGTATTTCTTCTTTGCCAAATACTCTGAATCAAATCAGTTACTGTTTTTATCGTGGAAGAACATGGGAACTCAACTGAAAAAAACAAAACCACAAACTTGTGCATGCAGAAACTGACAGAAGTCTTGTATCTAGGGGTTTTTTTTTTCAAGAAACTGTTTGGTTTCTCTCCTGTTCACTGCTGGCTTTTAACCATTCTTGCGGGACAGTTGTTCCACTCATGCATATTTGCAACAGATTAGTTCGATAAGTATTGGTACATATTAACATTTTTAACAAAAGAATAGCCATGCAGGGTCAAATTAAGGAATCAGAAAGCCTGGTAGCTGGACACTGAGAACTAGAGTCAGAATTTGTCTAAGGAAGATTAGAAACCTAGGGAGAAACAATGTAACAATACTCAAAACTTTCTGAGCCAGAAAAGGAGGGTTTGCATTCAGCGGTAGTAAGTGGATTTTTCTTAAGCCTTCCTGTTCTTTCAGTATGTTTGTAAATCTAATATTCACTGTGCTTTATGACATGTACCTTCACAGTTACCTTGAACATTTTATGAAAAAATATATAGAAATACCTGTTTTGAACATAACACTTACTCATTTCAGTTGATTCATTTGATTTTTAGACTGAATTGATGCAACTTATCCATGGAGGGAGTGAGTGGCTATGTGGGGCTTAGCTGCCTGCTGGGGTTAAGCCACAACACACTGATAATTTTCTCTTTGCCTGCCAAAATCTTTTTCAGTGCTCTCTTTTTCCAAGTGTAAGGTTTGCAGCCTATTTGACTTCCTTATAGAAGTTCTTTCATAACTTCTATCATAGTTTTTGGTCATCTTTGGGCATTTTCCAGATCAGTTTTATTGAGATGAACGGCCAGGATTTTGCTCACTATTCAAGGATGCCAGTGTACAATTTCAGCTTTACAGTGACAAAAGATCCCTCCATATTTAAAAGCAGCTTGGTTGAATACTGCACTTAGCATGTGCAGGAGGTTTGATTTACGTGACACTTTTAAAAGATTACTTAAATTTAAGCAGTTGTGAAATTGCATGCCCCATCATTTTCAGAGTTTTGCTTTTCCAATACTTAAAAATAGCAGTTTTTTGAACAATGAGTTAGTAATTCCCAAAGCATATTAAAAAGCAGCTTTTCAGTATGTGGAGGACCACTATAAATGTTATAGGCACATCTTTGCACTTTTTTCTAAGACCCAAAGTAAATTGAGTGAGATGTTTCTGGTATGATTACCATGGTACTGTAGCTGATCCATGGAATGCTGTGCTCAGGTAGACTGCTGTCACATACAAACAAAAGGACCAGTGTACACTTAAAAAAACCCCAAACTGTTGGCTTGCTTTTAGTGTCTGTAGTACTTAGGTTGAAAAGTTTTGAAAATGAGTTTTCAAAATGTAAATAAAATACGATTCTTCAATGTGATTTTATGAATAAACCTAATTTACAGCTGAATACAGTTATCTGCTCAAAAGCAGGACAGTCCTTATAGACAGCTTTCTTTGAATAATTGTTAAACCAATGCAAACTTAAAAGGGCTTGTTGTATTTACAGAGATGAAGCTGCTTGCTTTGCTATTCAGAAGGGATTACAAGCATCTCGTAGTAACATCAAGTTATTTAAGCATAATGATATGGCTGACCTTGAGCGACTGTTGAAAGAACAAGAGACTGAAGATCAAAAGGTACCATTCCTTTGAAGAAATATTTGTACTCTTTTGTGCCACACCCCCCCATTTTTTAACTGAGTTATGTAATTCAGTGGATGCAATGCTTGTAGGCAGTTATTTAGTTTTCATAAATCTCTATTGAGGAATTAATATTGCTTATGTAAATAAGATAGGGGGTTTTTTTTAATTTTATTTTATTTATTTGCATTTGTCTGCCTATCCAGTGGAAGTGAGCAGTTGTGGAATATCTTTATGTGCAGATATACTGTTAAATACTATTACCAGTTCAAATGCCACACTATAAAATCAACACAAAAGTGGCTAGTCCTAACCCTTTCATTTAGAGAATCAACATGATTTATTTTATTTTTTTTTCCCCTGACTTAAATTCTTCCCCTGTCTTGCATTCAACTCTTAAGATTTTCTCTCTCTTGAAACATTTGGGTCAGTTTGGCTAGCTTCTCATTCTGACAGTAGTACGAAAGGGTATCTGAAAGCAGCTAATGAATTTTAAAAGAATTGTCACTATGGGCCTTGCTTGCAGTATGCTGGAAAATTAACAGACAATTGGAAGAAAGCTGATGCTGTGCTAATATTCAAAAAGTAAAGTAGATAGACTGCATAATTATAAGCCAGTCAGCATAACATCAGTCTAAATCAGTAATGGATCTGATTAATATTAAATATATAGACAACATACTAGTTAACATACCTTCATGGAAAATACATGTTGTCTTATATGAGTTTTTAGATGTGGCTGACAGACTAGTGATGCAATTTGTGTAACATGTTTGATTTGTTAGAGCAGAGTGCTTTGATTTAGCTACACGGTTAAAGTTTCTTATTGTAATTAGCTGAATGTGAATATAAAGCTGGTAGCCAAGAGCTTAATATAGACCATGTGTGTTTAACTAAGACTAGGAGGAGTAGATGTTACCACTAGAGTTCATCCAACTTGTGGAATGGACTGTGCCTGGTTTTTTTGCCTGTCACTCGGAAATGTCAAATAGATGTTCTCTGAATCTTTTTACAAGAACTAAAAGAGGTAAGAAGCATAAAAATATCCTTGATCAGAAGATATCAGTAATTTTAAAGTAAATGTCAGGGGAATAGCATTTTAGAACAACAAAACTCCAGTCATACCACTGAAGTTTAGACAGAAACCAGTACAGGATATTCTTACAGTCTACACTGGCTAGACATCAGAGAAGGAGATTGTAACTTGAATGTTATGAATATTTTTGGATTGTGTTTTCTGAAGGCACTACTACAGAGCTTTGTGCTGCATTGAGGATCCTGGTGCACTTGTTGAAAATCCTTCTAAATGCTCAGGCTAATGATGAATATAATAGGAACCAAGATTTATTAGTAGTTGTTATATAGTTGTATTGTTTGTATTTTATTCATAAAGTTCAAATGAATTGGTTCTGATCTGTTGCAAAACAAGACATCATAAATCTCTTGCAAGAGTCAAAAATTTTATTACAAAATAAACTAGACAAATGAGGCATTTCAAGTTTTGTTACGAATGATAAATGCTAAGTTTAAACTAAAGTAAATGCTTACTTGAAAAAGAGACAGTATCTTCCTTCCCTTTCATTCCTCTCTTTCCCTATCAAAAAATCTTCAGTGCTTTTCATGTTAGTAACAGTTGATATGAACTGAAACCTTATCTTTTTCTCAAGAATCCTCGTAAGGCCCGTGTAACTCGAAGGTTTATTGTAGTGGAAGGATTGTATATGAACACAGGAGATATTTGCCCTCTTCCAGAATTGGTAAGTGGTTTCAGCTTGCCTTTAAAACTCTATGTTTGAAAACATGCAGCTAATGGAATAGTATTTGCGTGTAGCTAAGCCTACTATGAAAAGCTCTGCATGCAGGATTTTTTTTGTTTACCTTTTCATTTCCTCAAACATTCATGAATGAAATGATGATCCCAAGTCCTGCATTGTTTTGAAACTTCTGATCAGGATTCGGATTCTGATGGTATACCTGATGGCATATTAGTGAGACTTGCAAATGAGCTGTCATTTTGTGCTGGCTATGTTCTAGTAGATAATGGGAAAAATGCTATGGAGCTGTTGGAGCAAGTCCAGAGGAGGGTCACAAGGATGATAAAGGGGCTGAAGCACCTCCCATGTGAAAATAGGCTGAGAAAGTTGGGGGCTGTTCAGCCTGGAGAAGAGAAGGCTGCATGGAGACCTCATAGCAGCCTTCCAGTATCTGAAGGGCGCCTACAAGGATGTTGGGGAGGCACTCTTCATTAGGGACTGTAGTGATAAGACAAGGGGTAATGGGTTTAAAGTTAAACAGGGGAAGTTCAGCTTAGATATAAAGAAGAAGTTCTTTACGGTGAGGGTGGTGAGGCAGTGGAATGCATTGCCCAAGGAAGTTGTGTATTCTTCATCCCTGGCAGTGTTCAAGGCCAGGTTGGGCAGAGCTGTGGGTGACATGTTTTTAGTGTGAGGTGTCCCTGCCCATGGCAAGGGGGTTGGAACTAGATGATCTTAAGGTCCTTTCCAACCCAAAGTATTCTATAATTCTTTGATCATCTTGAAAGTACTTGATAGCCTACTTTAAAAAAAAAAAAAAAAAAAAGGGTATAGGAACATTTATGAAATTTGCTCTGGTCTTACATTCTGGGAGAATTTTGAAGGCTTTTAAAGTGCCTTCATGACAGAATACAACTCTAGAGCTGACATTTTTGCAGTCTGCAGGATACTGTACTTGTCTGTCTTTACCTTATCTCCCCCACCAATTTTGTTACTGAATTCTGATTGGCTTGACTTGTATTTTATATCACTTGCTCTGTTTTAGGTAAAATTGAAGTATAAATACAAAGTTAGAATATTTTTGGAGGAAAGCCTTTCGTTTGGAGTCCTTGGAGAACATGGAAGAGGAATTACTGAACACTTTGGAATAAATGTAAGTGCCTTTTTTGTGAGTTGTATTATGAACACGACACTTGTACAGAAACAACTTACACAATTGATTTCTTGTGCCTGTGCATTACGATAGAAATTTAGACATAGTTTTCTTTATCAGTCTTAAAGCATTCAGGTCTTTGCACTTTTGTTTCACTTGCTTACATGGAATAATTTTATTTATCTTTTGTGAGGTAGATAACTAAAGGATTTTTACAGTGTGTAATTTTATCTCTCTTTGGGACACTCGATGGGATGATGATTGCAGTATTATCCAGCTACTTACACGTAAAAGTGTCATGCTACAAAGAAATATTTGGGGACTAGGAGTAGGTCAGAAGAGTATCAGTGTATAGCCAGCCTACTTTGCTCTACTGCCCTTTACTCCAGTGGGGAAAAAAATGTGATAAAGCTTTTAACGGTCCTTTCAAAGGCACTGCTTCAATACTTTACCTACAGATTAAGCTAGACTATTTTTCCAAGAGCATACCATTTATGGTGTTGATTCAGCTGAGGAGTACTTTGGAAATCCGAAACAGTACCCTTGTGGTCATTGGTTACCACAGCTACCTGAGCTGTGGAAGGATGAAGTGCTCTTCTGTTTGCCAATGTCTTAGCGTGGAGCATCTCTCACTACCTTCTAACAGTGTCTTGAGTTCAGCTTGGAAGTGAAATATCAAATTCTGAGGAATTCATTCCATCTTTCCCTATCTCCAACTGTTTTCACTTTAAGTATCTTAATACTAAATGTGGAAAAGAGGGAGAGCTTTAGAAAAGGAAAGAAACAATATTGCTGTGATGCTTGCCAAGTACTATCTGATTAATTGGCTTACGTGTTAAATTAATTTACAAGAATTTACAAGCATAATCTTTCAGTTTTGTCTGCTCAAAATGGGGATGCATAACAGTGGTCATGAGTGTGCATTACAGAGCCTGGCAAAAAATGTTTGCAACCAACAAGTGAAATAAGACAGTTGTGTCTGTAAGGTTCAAACTCTGATTTAACTAGGCTTATGCTCAGTCTTAATCACATTCTAACTCCTACTGACTACAACGAGACTACTTACATTCTTAAACGGCACTGTCACACTGAGTGGTTTGAGGAATTCTCAGCCGTATCTGTATATTTTTTCTGTTTGTGTACTTCACATTGAAATGCCTGGAAAAGAGTGATCCTATTAAAATTATCTACAGATTCGTAAATTTCAATTTCTAAAGTTCTTTTGGTTTGCTTAAAATTATTTCAAATGTAGTTTTATTTTAATATGTGATATTAAAATTATCTTCTCTAGTATTCATGATAATATGAGACAAGATACCCCTTTACTAGATTTATCTTATAGTCCTCATGTAATCATTAATAACTTCTTGATTTAACTGGCAGATCGATGATATAGATCTTATTAGTGCAAACATGGAAAATTCACTGGCTTCTATTGGAGGATTTTGCTGCGGACGATCTTTTATTATTGACCATCAGGTAAGCCAAGCCTTAATTTTAAAGCATTATCTATACTGATGTAAACAAAAAAAGTAAATTCTTTTTTCCTCTTCCTCTCTCCCCTCCCCTTCCTTCAGCGATTGTCTGGTCAAGGCTACTGCTTCTCTGCATCCCTACCTCCTTTGTTAGCTGCAGCTGCTATTGAGGCTCTGAACATTATGGAAGATAATCCAGGTACTTAATTCAGGAAAAATCTTATTCTTCAGTCTTCTTTCAGTCATAATTAATAACTCATATTTTTCCCTGGGCTGATTCCTTAGCCTCTTATTCTTTTAAGTTCTCTCTCTTTTCCAGCTGATTAATTTTACATGCATGGTTTTTATTTTTTCTTCATATAATTTCCCATCCTACTTTTCTTCAGTGTTCAGTGCCCTTATCTTCTTTTAGCTGAAAATGAGCAAGATACTTGGGGCTAGGAGGGACAGAGATGGGTTTCACTAAGCAAATAGGATATTACTGGTGCTGCCAGGAAAAAGTGGCAAGTCGTAGTAGTAGGGGACTCTACACTGAAAGGGACAGAAGCACTTGTCTGTCGGCCTGACCGGGTCTCAAGGGAGGTGGGTTGCCTACCAGGGGCATGGATCAGGGATGTGGCAGAGAGGCTGCTCTGGTAGGTCCCACGGACTATTACCCACTTCTGGTGATACATGTGGGTGCTAGGGATATAGATAGTAGTAGTCTGGGGAACATAAAGAAGGACTACAGAGCCCTGGGTGAGGTGGTTAGGGGCTCTGGAGCTTAGATAGTCTTTTCGTCAATTCTCCAGGATACAGGGGAGGACCTAAAAAAAGCTAGGAGGATTAACCAGGTTAATAAATGGTTAAAAGGGTGGTGTCACAGTCAGGGGTTTGGGTGCCTTGAACACAGGACCCAAGTTTGTAGGCCAGGTTTACTGGGGGCTGGTGGAGCTGGTCTGATAAAGAAGGGAAAGAGCAGTTTTGGTAGGAGGCTTGCCAGACTGGTCAAGGAGGCTTTAAACTAGATGTGTTGGGGGAGGGGGGCATCATTCCATTCCAACACACCCAGTCAGTTGCCAGCACCTATAATAAATGTTTGGAGCACTGTAGAGATATCCCAGCTGCTCCAGCCAATGAGCCGGCTTCAGTTGGAGCTCGGCTCAGATGCCTCTATACAAATGCCCGTAGCATGGGGAACAAACAAGAGGAATTAGAGATGTGTGCACGTCTACGGGGGTATGATATAACAGGCATCACAGAAACATGGTGGGATGGCTCCTATGACTGGAGTGTTGGAATGGAAGGTTACAGATTTTTTAGAAAAGACAGGCCTGGCAGGCGGGGAGGGGGGGTTGCCCTTTATGTTAGGGATAGGCTGGAGAGTATGGAACTGTGTCTGGGGACAGGTGAGCAGTGGGTCAGGGTTAAAGGGAGAACAGCTATGGGGGACGTTACTGTGGGGATCTGTTACAGACCGTCTGATCAAGGAGAACCTGCGGATGAAGCATTCTATAGACAGGTAGGAAAAGCCTCACGCTCACAGGCCCTTGTTCTCATGGGTAACTTCAGCCACCCTGATATCTGTTGGAAGGACGGTACGGGCCGGCACAAGCAATCCAGGAGGTTCCTCGATTGTGTAGAAGACAACTTCCTTCTGCAAGTAATAGAGGAGCCGACAAGGAGAGGTGCCATGCTTGACCTCATGCTCACCAACAGGGAAGGGCTGGTTGGGAATGTGATGCTCCAGGGCAGCCTTGGATGCAGCGATCATGAGATGGTCGAATTTGAGATCCTCAGGACAGTGAGAAGAGCGTGCAGCAAGCTCACTGCCCTGGACTTCCAAGACAGCAGACTGCGGCCTCTTCATGAACCTGCTTAGTAAGGTTCCATGGGATATAGCCCCAGAGGGCAGGGGGGCCCAAGTCTCTTGGTTGATATTCAAGGATCACCTGCTACAAGCTCAGGAGTGTTGCATCCCAACTAGAAGGAAGTGCAGCAGGAGAGACAGGAGACCTCCTTGGATGGATAAGGAGCTGCTGAGGAAAATTCAAATGAAAAAAGAGGCTAAAAGAGGCTTATAATAAGTGGAAGCAAGGACAGATGGCCTGGGAAGAGTACAGGAATGTTGTCTGGGAAGCTAGGGACCAGGTTAGGAAAGCTAAGGCCCAGTTAGAATTAAACTTGGCTAGGGGTATTAAGGATAACAGGAAGGGATTCTACAGGTACATAGCAAATAAAAAACAGACTAGGGAGAACGCAGGCCCCCTCAGGAAGGTCTCAGGAGAACTGGCTAGCCTGGATTTGGAGAAGGCTGAGGTTCTGAATGACTTCTTTGCCTCGGTCTTCACTGGCAAAGGCTCTGACCACACCACGCAAGTCTTAGAAGGCAGATGCAGGGACTGTGAGAATGAAGACGTTGCACCCACAGTAGGAGAGGATCTGGTTCGAGACCCATCTTAAAAATGTGAATGTGCACAAGTCCATGGGACCTGATGAGATCCATCTGCAGGTCCTGAAGGAGCTGGCAAATGAAGTTGCTAAGCCACTGGCCATCATATTTGAGAAATCATGGCAGTCAGGTGAAGATCCCGATGACTGGAAAAAGGGAAATATAACCCCCATTTTCAAGAAGGGGAAAATGGATGACCCGGGGAATTACAGACCAGTCAGTCTCACCTCTGTGCCTGGCAAAATCTTGGAGCAGATTCTCCTGGAAGGCATGCTAAGGCACATGAAAAACAACAAGGTGCTTGGTGACAGCCAGCATGGCTTCACTAAGGGGAAATCCTGCCTGACCAATATGGTGGCCTTCTATGATGGGGCTACAGAACTGATGGACGGGGGTAGAGCAGTTGATGTCATCTACCTGGACTTGTGTAAAGCCTTCGACACTGTCCCACACAACATCCTTGTCTCTAAATTGGAGAGACATCAATTTGATGGATGGACCACTCGGTGGATAAAGAACTGGCTAGATGGCCGCACACAAAGAGTTGTGGTCAATGGCTCAGTGTCCAGGTGGAGACCAGTAACGAGTGGTATCCCACAGGGATCGGTGTTGGGCCTGGTCTTGTTTAACATCTTTGTCGCTGACATGGACAGTGGGATTGAGTGCGCCCTCAGCAAGTTTGCCGATGACACCAAGCTGTGTGGTTCAGTTGATATGCTGGAGGGAAGGAATGCCATCCAGAGGGACCTTGACACGCTTATGAGGTGGGCTGATGCCAAGCTCATGAAGTTTAACCATGCCAAGTGCAAGGACCTACACCTGGGTCAGAGCAATCCCAGGCACAGCTAAGGTTGGGCAGAGAAGAGATTCAGAGCAGCCCTGCAGAGAAGGACTTGGGGGTGTTGGTTGATGAGAAAATGAACATGAGCTGGCTTCAGTGTGCGCTTGCAGCCCAGAAAGCCAACCGTATCCTGGGCTGCATCAAAAGGAGCGTGACCAGCAGGTCGAAGGAGGTGATCCTGACCCTCTACTCTGCTCTGGTGATACCTCATCTGGAGTATTGTGTGCAGTTCTGGTGTCCTCAACAGAAAAAGGACATGGAACTGTTGGAACAAGTCCAGAGGAGGGCCACGAGGATGATCAGGGGACTGGAGCACCTCCCGTATGAAGACAGGCTGAGGAAGTTGGGGCTGTTGAGCCTGGAGAAGAGAAGGCTGCATGGAGACCTCATAGCAGCCTTCCAGTATCTGAAGGGGGCCTATAGGGATGGTGGGGAGGGACTCTTCATTAGGGACTGTAGTGATAGGACAAGGGGTAACGGGTTCAAACTTAAACAGGGGAAGTTTAGATTGGATATAAGGAGGAAATTCTTTTCTGTTAGGGTGGTGAGGCACTGGAATGGGTTGCCCAGGGAGGTTGTGAATGCTTCATCCCTGGCAGTGTTCAAGACCAGGTTGGATGAGGCCTTGGGTGATGTGGTTTAGTGTGACATGTCCCTGCCCATGGCAGGGGGGTTGGAACTAGATGATCTTAAGGTCCTTTCCAACCCTAACTATTCTATGATTCTCTGATTCTATTATAATTCTGCTTTATAGACTAGTGATATTCTTCTTTGAGAGCAAATTCCCTCGAGACAAACCAAGGTATGGAAGGTTAAAGATAAATGAATGGCAATATATTTCCATATAATTCACCTTCATTAGCATCGACAGGTTGTAGCACATCTGCAGAGAGATGCAGTACTTAATTTGTCACAAATAAATAAAATCTACAGGGTAGCCCACGCTAATCCTCTGAATTAAACAAAAGCAAGAAAAAAGAGTAAGTTAGAGGACTGTTAGCTGTAGTGATGGGTCAACCTTTAATAAGGAGCAGAACCAAAGTTTGCAGATCCAGGAGTCAAAGTTTCCTGTTGATAATTCTGCAGTGACTTGGTGAAAGGACCAGAGACGGCATGCCTGCAGATATTTTATAGATACAAGTAAATTGGACCTGGCATTTCAATCGCATTACCAAGTGTTTGTGTCATCCTTTCCATATGATCATGAACCAGTGCAGCTGGAGTAATGAGATAAAGGGAAGTACGCATTTCTCACATCTTAAAAGCGTGTCATTTCCTGGCAGACATGGGAGTCGGAAACATGTGAAGAGTTGTGAAGAGACTTAGTACTTCAGTCGATATGTGTCTCTTAGTTTTCCTTCCAAATGCTTTTTCTTGAAGTCTTAGACTTACAGAAATATAAAGTAAAAAACGAGATCTCTAAGCTTTTTCTTTTTTTCTTTTTTTTTTTGTTTGGTTTCGTTTTTTGGTTTGTTTTCATGTGTGTAGATATTTTTCAGACTCTCCGGACTAAATGTGAACGAATTCACAAAGCTTTACAAGGGTAAGTGTGTTATTTTGGGTTGGGTTTTTTGTTGGTGGGATTTTGTTGTTTGGTTTGGTTTGGTTTTGTTTTTTTTTTTGTTTTGGGGTTGTTTTTTTTTTTTGGCTGTTGTTGATTTTGACCAGGCCTTCATAATACCAACTTTTTAAAGAACTCTCTTTGACCAAATCTTTTTCTGGTTTTACAGATACTTGGACTGGGATATGTACACTAAATTATATATATATATTAAAGGAAGAAAATAACCCTTTTCCAGTTGTCTCTGTTATGTTACTAACAAGTGTCCAAATTTTAAAAATCCCTTTACAGATGAAATCAGATTACATCTTCACGTTAGTGAGGATGATTGGAAGCCATTACACATTTAAGTCTTCAGAAGAATGGGATATAGCTTTCAATGGCATGAAGTGTTGATAACCATTTTGAAAAAAAAAAAGTCCAAGTAAAAGCATTTTCAATATAGCTTAGCAGATACTCTTTCAGACAACTCAGTGTACCTTGCAGTCACCTTTTAACACAATATTGTTCTTGCATATAAAAGTAGACTGTTAAATAGTAATAGAAGTATCCATAGTTCTGGGGGCACATAGAAGATTGCTAGCATTTATCTGAAAAATAAGGATTCTGTTTAAAATTTACTAACACTATCCTCTCTTAAAATATGTCTATATTGAGTAATTGCTTTTTTCTGTCAGGTTTTGATACTAAAAAGATATAGAAATTACTGTGACTTTTCAACAACTGTTTAATAGGTATGTTAGCTGGTATGTTACAATTTTCAACAGTTTTCTGTTACATATTACAGAAATGAATGACATCTAAACATATGTAAAATCTGTAATGCATGATTGATTGTACTAGCTGGTTTTTTGTGGCATTAGTAACTTAGTTATTCAGTGTAAGTTGCTCGTTACTTCAAATAAGCGATATCCTGCTTAGCTGGCATTTTATGTTAGAACTTTAGCTATATTTGACTTCTTTGGAATAATCCTACTATAACTAATCCTTGTTTCCTTTGGCGGTGTTGTGTTTCAACATGGTTTTAAAATACATGGGCTTTCAGGTCAAAAATACCCAGATGCTTCTATGCTTGAAATTTAAAATTTTGGAGCAACGTAAAAACTGTTAGTGTCTTTTCTTTCTAGTAATGAAATGTTATGATTGAGCTCAAAGGAGAAAATTTGTAACATCCTTCTCTAACTTGTTTCTAGGTATCATTTTGCAAATATGCTTAAAATACAGGGAAAGAATGTAAGGAAAAATTATCAACCTTTTACTTGTTAATATTCACTGCAAAACAGAAGCAAATAAGCCATGGCTGGTAGTTTCCTGTGCTGTGACTGATAACTTTTTTTCACTTAAATTCAGTGATTAGTATAATCACAAATCGACAAGTAGGCAAGATGCCTGAGTGTCTGTAATAGGAATTTTGTATTCTTGCCTTATGAAAAACGGTGTGGTAATATAGGTGTCAAAAAAAAAAAAAAAGTGCTTCTAGGTCATACTGGGAAAGAATTTGAAAGATTTAACAATACCAGGGAACTGGGAAGCCCTGTAACAGAAAAACTATCCTAACAATTGCATAAAGCAATATTATAGGGAAGATTTGAATTAGTATTTTCAGGGTCCAGTGTGTTTTTGTTAATAAAACCACACTAGAAAAAGTGTGTGATGGTTTGAAGAGGAGGCAGAGTTTTCGGAAAAGCTTTCTTCAGTGCTGTGATGTTAAGTGTACTCATCTTCCTTGCCTAACTATGACTGCTGCTTGATTCCAGTTCTTTATGGTACAGATATCATTTCTTATTGTCTATGGCAGTTTGTAAAGCATAAGAAAAGGCAGTAAGAAATGGGATAATTAACACAAATTGGGAATTTTCCTAACTTTCTTAACAACCTTTAGATAAAGTAGATTTCAGTTGTGTATTTAAGAAATATCTAGTCTCAGAAAGTAGAAATGAAAAAGCACTGTTGTGGGAAGACATAATTTTGTGGACTTTTTAAAAAGCATGACAAGAGCAAGAAGTACCCCTTCAGCAGTTCATTACTTACTATGTATCCTACACCTGGCTGAGAATTTTCCAACAAAGCAGGTTTTTATTGAGGAAAAGTGGATTTAATTTAAAGATTTTTTGCTATCAGAGAAACTTGGTTTTTTGGTTTGTTTTTTTTTTTTTCAATGAGACCTTGTTCTAGATTTCTGTTAGGAAAACTGACAAGTGTTTATGGTGTTCCAAGCAGCATGGTTACACAGGGTTTCCTACTGCCAGGAGCTTGGACTGCCACACAATTCTGAAGCCCAGCCTTGTAGCTGGGATGAGGAAGATGCTCCCCAAGGCTACTTCAGTACTGGTATGTTAATGTTGGGAAGCATTCCTAGACACTGGATCTCAATTGTCTGCTCTCCGAAATTATTGGAGTGATCTGTGGCATAGGTTTGGCCCAGGCCAAACAGTGCTCTTTGAAAGGACTCCTGGATACAGTTCAAGAGTTGGTGTGAGCCAGGAGCTGTTCACACTATTCAGTTTGGATGTGGGCACCCTGATGCGAAGGCTCACATTTTAGAAGTATGGATGTGAATCATTCCAAACCCATTCACCACACAGCCAGAAAACAGTTCAAGGCATATTTAATTTATTAATATAAAACTAGCCTTAAAAGAAACATTGGAGTTCTGGAGGCTAGTTTTGTTCCTTTGTTACTTCAAATCAGCTCTTCCAGATATTTCTTTTTGTGTAGGAGTTGTATTTGGTTAATTTGCAAGTGCAGGGGAACAGCACCAGAATATTTGCAGTTTTGTGCCTGAAGAAGAAAATCAGTTTGATTTGTCTTTCTGAAATGAACTGTGAATTGAAATATCATTGCAGAAATAATACAAGATGCTTTCCATGCTAAAGTATGATTTTATTTTTTTCTAGGTTATAATTGATTCAGTGTGTCTCTAGTGCCAGTTTTCTCTCCTCCAGGCTCCAGTTCTGGCATTTATGGATTTAACATCTCTTCTGCTGACTGAGTCTTGAACTTTGTAAAAATAGAAAACTTACTTGAAAATCAGGGTATATACTTAAAATGAGTGTGAGGCAAGCTCATCAAAATCAGGAAATCAAAATCACATCTGATGGTAGACATGCGTTTATGGGACCTGTGAACACTGGAGACCAGAGGTCTTTCTTGGGTATTGGATACAGCTTTTTGGAGGGGAATAACACAGTCCTGAATCAGAACAGTGACAATCAAATGTCAGTCATTCAGCCAGATTCTAGGAACCCAGTTATCAACTGTCCTTATGTACAGATTTGGGAACAATTCTAGTAATATAACTAGTTTTAGGGGAGCTTCTGACTAAATGACAAACAATGTTGTAAATATTTTCTTACAGGAAATAATTAAAAATCATAAATATTGGGAAAAAAAAACCAAAAAGAAAATCCCACCTTGTTTCTATTTGTGACAGAAGTGGGTAAAAAGAGTTACTATTATTTATTTTCTTAATATAGATTCCAGAGACTTTACTTAACTAGCTGTGTTTTTATCAGCAACATACAAGCCTCACACTAACATTTCTCCTGCCTCAGGATCCTTTAAAATTTCTGAATCATTAATCCTTTTTGCAAAAGGAGTCACTATTGTTACATAAACTTGCTGAAGCTACATTTAGTAAACTCCTTAGTAAAGATGTTCCCTTGATAAGCTTTGTTGTCTTTACCTATTGCAAACTGAAACGCATATGTGCTTTACCTGCATCAGTATTACTGAAGTGAAATATCCCTCTCTTCTCACTCACCAGCTACTACCTAGAACACTTACTACCTAGAACTTCAACATGTGCTCAAGAAAGGTATGCATTGAAGGCTTTTTGTTTGTTTTAGGATTTCTGGCTTAAAAGTAGTGGGAGAAACTTTTTCCCCAGCATTGCACTTACAGTTGGAAGAAAGCCATGGATCTCGGGAAAATGATGTCAAGTTACTCAAAAGAGTCGTGGATTATGTAAGTGTCCCCATAGAAAATAAAATATATTGTTGTATTTGAATGTAAACAATGCATATGAAGTGCATATGGGTAGAGAGGCTTGTTGGGTAACTTGCTGTAATGTCTTGCAGGGATGCTGCAAGAAACTCAGTTTGTTTACTGATTATAATGCTATATTAGAGACCATCTTCTAAAAATTTCATGCTGCAGATGTTTAGGTCTGTAGCACTGCATGAAAATATGTAATTAGACCTTTTATTTCACAAAATAATTATTTCCTGCTTTGTACTTCAAAACTCAAGTTCAATTTGCATATAAAACTTTTGCTTAGAAAACTTTTATGTTTCTGAGAATAAAGGCTATCATTTTAAGAGTTCTGGTGGAATGTTTTAACCATCTGAAGTCTAGTTTTCTGTAATTTTGTTTGTTTGAGTACATGAACTTGCTTTTTTCAGTGAAGAATATCATGTTTTATATATAGTATTTTTTTCATCTTCAGTACCCTCTTTCTCCCACGTGAAGGAGATGAAGGTAGTTGAGGAAGTTTTCTATTTCAGGTGGCAGGTAAACAAGATTACACAGCAAAAAACTCTGAAGTTGATTGCCTTGAAAACATGCTTAAATATGATTTAATAGCCTAGTTAATACAGCATTTTTGTCTGATTACTTGGAGCTGAAAGCTAAAGAAGCTGCACCCTAATACATTTTATGTGTTCATAATTCCATGTGTTTATGCTGTGTTAAATTTAGAGATGATTTTTCACAGACTTATAAACCTTCATTTAGGAAAGAACTTACAGTTATTGTGACACCAGACTCATAGAAATTAGTTATATGTATTTGGTTATCAAAAGACTGCAATCAGAAGTTCCCAGATTGACAATTGCTGTATCTTCTTTATTTGTAGTGCATGAATAGTGGTATTGCATTAACTCAGGCCTGCTATCTGGAGAAAGAAGAAAAATGTCTTCCTCCACCTAGGTTAGTAGAAAGTCAGTACATCATTTAATTTTATTGGATATGACTGTCTCTTTTCATACAATGAAAATGGGGTTTTGTTCAATAGCCTGGTTTGAATAGTTGGTCCTGTAAATATTTGGAAATGTTCCATTTTGAGGTATATTGTCAGTGACTGTTACAGGATCCTGATACCTTGAAATAAGTGTATCAAAACTACCAGGCACATTTCCATGATCTACACATGATCTGCAAGTAAAAAATATGATAATCACATATCTGTAGTGTGATGTAGTTAAAAAGAGGTAATCTGACCATTTCTGCTTAGACAAATGTGTTGTTTCTGGCTGAATTTGAATCCATAATAATTTCCCTAGAGAGAGTGGTCTTAATGTGTTAAAATTGGTACAAGAAAAATTCCGAAGGTGAACCAAGGAGTAAATTTTACTTTGTATGTTCTGTTTTTCTAGTATTCGAGTAGTGGTAACAGTGGAACAAACAGACCAAGAACTGGACAAAGCTGCATCACTTATTAAGGAAGCTGCACAGTCTGTATTGAATTAGACTGCTGGATTGGATTCCTCTTTCCCCAGTTTACCAGGTTGTAGTTTACACTGTGTAGGGACTTCCAGGTTTTTCCACTGATGGCCTTGAAATCTGTCTGAGTAACATGATTGTTCCAGAACAGTACAAATGCAGTGAGGGGAAGAATGCTGAATTTTTGAACCTGTGAATGACACAGTGTACTTGCAATTCGCTCTACCACTTACCAGCGTTTTTTCAAACGGAATATCACTGTTGCATACATGACTCTTTCATAAGTTGCATCTAAGAAGTTTTCAGTTAATTTCTTCAAACGCTTAAGTTTGAAGATTCAAAAATGTGTATAAATGTTGTTTTCTTCCAAAACATCTAAAATATATCTCCACATATCCTTAGAATTTAGGAACTTCAAACAAGTTTCAAGGAAATCCCCACACACACCCCCTAAAGATAGGCTGTTCCTAATACTGTCAAAAGGGAGTATGTAACACTTTAAGAGATGATTTTATGCTATGTTATGTCATTCATGATTAACTATAGAAGGAACTTAAATTCCATTTTTGTTTATATCTTTCTCTAACCATTTTTGTAAACCAGGTTTTAAGAATGCCTGGCCAGAGAATTCCATTGTCTAAATGGTAAATCCATATTAAATACTACTTTCTTTGTGCATTTCATATGTAATCATATGCATGTTTGATATTATGGGTGAGGTTTTTCATATGATTAACTTTAAAACATGTAACCTGAAAACTCTGAATTTTGAAATTCATGTAATTCCATTATAGTATGTTCAGTCAGGCGGACTTTGTGCTGTTCTTGAAGAGGAGTCATAAGCAGCATGAGGAATGAATGAAGATTTTGAAACAGCAACTCTGTACTAGTTTAGTCAAACTACTTTGAAGCACTATAATGGTGTGTGCCACATTTTGTTTCTGAGCAGCTATACCTTAGAGGGAAAGATAGATAGCCAATAAGAATTTAGATTGTAGAAAGATTACTGAAACACAGCTCAATGCATGCACTTAAAACCCCTACATAATTGGATAGTCATATATGGAGATTATGCTGTCCAGATTTTCAGGAAGCACAGATGGACATTACAGAGATGAACACATTACACCTATCAGAGGAAGCTGGTAAGGAAGAATTACAGTAAGCTGTACCGTCTTATAAAATAAAAATGATAGCTATGTAGTTCAGAATTTTGCTTTAAGAATGCCTGATCTGTCTTCTGGGTTGTTTTGTACTTACATGCCTTTTGGGTTGCTGCTACAGGACTGTTTTTGAGAAACATCTTTGTTTAAATAAAAAGTTAATCATGTTTGATTCAGATTTTTACTTATCATATAATTAGATTTTGTAGCATGATCAGCTGTATTTTTTTTGAATATTCTGTGTCAGATATGCACAGTCTGTGTTGCCTCCTTGAGTTTATAATGACTGTCCATACACTGGCTTCAAAACTTCTCAGCTTCATGCACTCAGATAAACCACCTAAAGCTGTGTTGGTGCACCATTGTGACTGTTGCTTGACTATTTGATATAGTCGAATCATTATCTACTACGCAGCACAGAGGAATGGTCACCGCAATGTGAAAGAGTATTCCTATTTCACTGACATTTGTGTTTTCTCTATTAACTGTGAGTAAAAGCTTGTGAGAAGCCAACAATTCCAAAGAGTAAAAACATGGGGAAGGAAGCTGATTCCCATTTCACAGACTGGAACTGAAGTGCAGAACAATCAACCTTCTCAAGACCATCAGAAATTAAGAGAAATGGAAATCAAAACCTATGACTATAGTTTGAGCTTGTAAGCCTTTTTTGAGTTGATAGTATAAACCTGAGTGTTCAAGTGAATCAAACCTTTGATGTGTAAGATGGGAATAAATGAGGTACTTTGATTCCAGTGCAGCATAATAAATGGGTTTGGAGTTCAAGTTAAACCTGTGAAGGTAATCAAATCACCAGTTATCATTGAAACACTAGGTTGCAGGATCTATATTCACTTCTTGCCTTTTTATTATTATTATTTTTAATTTTTTTTAAGCTGCCTACAAAATGGAACTTTCTTGTTGCATTTTTGAGAGTTGGCAACCATCTTTAGATACAGGGGTTTGTTTTGTTGTTTTTGTTTGGGGGTTGTTGGGGTTTTTTTTCAGTTTAAAGTGAAGTGATAATACCTAAATTTCCAGGAAGCAGAGTGGAATCTCTGGCAGTTTTGAAGCTCTGACTTCAAAGGTTCTGATGAAAGTAAAGTTCAGGTATGTTGCTGAGAGATACTATTAGCCAATTAATTTGGCACATAAACACAGCATTAAACCATTGGAAAAATGGCCTTTGTCCATTTTTGTTGTCCACAAGTGTATAGAGAAGCATTTAGATCACACTAAAGTGAGCACCTTATGATTGATAGCACCTGAAGTACTGTTGTAATGTGTGTTTTGCTGACAAGTTATATAAGTCTCTGTGAGAAATTAAGACACTTACGAGATGTAGCTGATGGAGAGATATATCCCTGGTCAGTTTAAGCATGTCTGGCCGCCGCCTTTTTTGTTTTCTAATAAATGTCTCTGACATGGCAAGCAGATGAATGGAAGTATGGCTGGGGGGGGGAAGGGGGGAGGGGAATCTTGGGATTTGGGAGACAGCACATGTTCTGGTTAAACTTTTGACATTAAAAAATAAGAAGCCTGTTAGGGTGCTGAAGTTTTCAGTGCTGTAGGGTGGTAAGTATATGATCCAGCCTGTTTTAATTGCTTTATAGTTATGTTTGGATGAAGAGGGACTTTTTCATCCATTTCTTCTGATGTGGGAGTGAAGCTGGGGTCTTAGTAAGTAAATGGAAGGCTATTTAGCAGGATGCTTTGTGGTGAATCAAACACATAAGGGCATTATCCTGTATTTCAAAGTTTCTGTTGAAAATAAGTGTATTCTTAATTCAACTAAATTATGTATTTTGTGCTGCCAAGTATTTGAAACAAAATTTCGGCTAAGTGTTTTCCCTAATTTCATCAGGATAATAAATTCTGATCAAAAATGATTATTTTTTTTTAAATGAAGATTAGTAGCTGGTAGTTGAGAAAGAACGCATTTTGACTGTAATGGGGTAGCCATTTGAAATTGTCCTGATAAAAGCAATTTTTTGCAATACGTAGTGACTGGGATGGACTGGAAAGAATTTATGCTTCGAAGGTATTTTGGATTGAAGAAACATGTCTTCATGATATATTCTTTTTAAAACAAAGATATATTTTCTTGGAATATTTAATGATAATTGATTGTTATTTGTGTAGGTTCATTGTTTTTATAGGAAAACCTACAGATGCCTTTTCTGTTTATTGTACTAATCATTTTTTTTGATAGAAGGTGAAGTGCATACGGAGAGTATTAAGAAAAAAAGAGGTATGGCTGAACAACTCTTTTTTTTTTTTTCTTATTACTTTTGAAATATAATCCCAGTCACTGCACAGAATGCTGTACTGTCTCTGTCACTCCATCTGGACTTTATTATTTTAAACAGGGTTGTGGAGTGTATGAAGTTGCTACTGCGAAAGTGTCTTGCATCTTAAGATGACTCAAGAAATGCATGAGCTGTAAATGCTGCTTAAAAAGAGGAAGTATTTAAAACTACCACAAAACATTTGTACATAAAACTATTTCAGTGTCCTAATAAAAGGAAATGTGTGGATAACATTTCTTACATTTTTATGTTCTTTGGCAATTTTCATGCTGATAAGGTGATGCACTTACACTGTCCTGCTGTTGATGAATTTTTCAGATCTTAGTTTCCTGTCCTGTGTGTGTGCTACGTCATTGCAAAATATTTATAGCAAGTTACATAAGCTGATAAATCAGTTGAGCTGCAGATCACTGGAAGTATCTGTCAGCGAGCTACTGTTCTCTCTACATGACCAATTTCTAATGCTCAAGTAGCAGATACATACGTAAAACTGCTGTTGGAAACTGGACACTGGGCGAGATACAATTTTGTTGTGACTCAGTGTAGAATTTCTGATGTATCAATGAACTCTTGATTCCAGATGAAATGTGCTCCAGCTTTGAAGGACCTTTATGGAAGAAAATACTGTAGTTTTGCCTACTGTGTTATATGGGTAATATTTCTCTGTTTATCCCTGCTATTAAAGGTGTTACCACCTGACTTTGCATGCTCTTTGGATAACTCTGAGCTGTATTTCCCAAGAGGTGATCCAGTGTTGGCAGAAACTAGTAAGTACTGGAGTCAGAGGTGAAATTTAAGTAGATTTGGAAATGTATAATCCACTGGGTAACTTTTTTTTCTGCAGTTTGAAAATGAAAATGTTTTGGGCCATTACTAACAGAGACGTGATCATTTCACTTGACACTTGTCAGACTGCACTGGGAGTATTGTGGTGCCTGCAATTCAAGAAAAACAAGAACAGACTGGAGAGTGTCTAAAGGAGGGCCACGTAGATGGAGAACCTGCCCTGAGGGGAAAGACCAATTCATGTCTCCTCTCCCTGGAAAAGAGTCGAGGGAACCTCATTATAGGTTTCCAGTAATTAAAGGGTATCTACAAAGAGGGTAGAGGTTTCCTACAAGGAGCCATATGGAGAAGGGACAAGAGGCACAACTTGCACCAGGAAGGGTTTCATCTTGATATAAAGAAATTTTTCACAGTGGAAGAACATTCAGTTGCTGGAAAACAACCTCCACAGTGATGTGGGGGAGTCCCAGCAGGCTTTCAAGACATGACTGGACAGCATTCTGGGTAGTCTCACCTAGGCTTCCTATCCCGTAAGAGATCGGACCAGGTGATCTTTTGAGGTCCCTTCCAACCTGGGCTGTTCTATTATTCTGTAGTTTTATGATTCTAAACTCAAGACAGGAACAGGCAGTAATTTTTGACACTTGACTATTCAAAATGTAGCTTCTTTTGGAGGAAGCCCTTTACTGATTACCTAAGAATGTCACAGTAGGTGCAGGAGGGAATGCAAGAGAAGGAATTTAAACTTGGCGCATTACAGTAAGTACGTGTTAGATTGGTGATAAAGACAGGATAAAAAATGTGGTGTAACACCAGTACTTCATGATAATCTGGGAGGTGGTTTTAACTTCCTGTCATTTTTCAGTGGTTTGGACTTTCTCTGTTCTGCATAACAAGATAATGAAATGGCTGTTCTGTACAATTAACTGCTGAAAGAGCAAATGCTAACTTTTTTTGTTTTAACTTTGGCCGGGATAATACTTCTTTATAAGCTAGCTGCTATCATGTTTATACTGAGTAAAGTTTTGTCTTTGTGTCAGTCATGAATGTGACCTTTAGTTACAGCATATAAACAGACTGCATTTTTAATGCATTTTAATACAAAATTACCTTTGTATGCAGCATTTAGGTTTAAAGTCTGTGAGTGTTTAAGTGGTCTTTAAAGTAGCTGATGCTATGGAATACTTGATGGTAACAATATTCCGATTTATGACTGGTTAGGTAGAATATTTTACTGGTGGAAGATGATACATCTCATTTTGATCCATCCTTAGATTATTTTTTTTTTTTTGTGGCCAAGCTACACACAAAGAATTGCTAGCAAGCAGTAGTCATTATTTGCAATAATAAGTTTCTTAAGTTTTTCTTGGATAAAAGAATGACATGGAAGAAGTTAAGCCATAGGTATGACAGTATGCAGCTTGTTTTACTGAAATTTGTCAATTTTCAGATTGCACTAATAAGCAAATTTTAGTTACTTGCTTATACATATGCTGTGTTGAGAAGAAGAATTTTAAAATGTTAAAGGATTTTAAAAGATTATAGATGTTTTAAATAGGTTGCTTTCTTGTTTCTTGAAGCTTTTGCTATTTCCTACACTTCTGTTTTCTGGATATCTTCCTGCATTTTCCTTTGTTTTTCAGGGTAGCCACCAAAAATACATGCATTTTTAGTTGCTAAAAAATTACTTTAGCAGTGAAAGTGTTTGGTATACAACAGACCTTGTTTTAGTGATTAAGTCCACATTTCCTATATTGCTGAGGCATATTGATGTTGTCTGACTGGTGGGAGGCAAGGAATGTGCAGAAAGTTGCATTAAATCGGGGGTTTAAAACGATGGCACAAATTAATTGGATTTATTAAGTGATGATTTCAGCGAAAATGTAATGACTCATTTTCAGTCTAGTTCCAGTGCTCATCTGTTCTTGATACATAGGTGAACACTGTGCATTTACAATACACATGTATTTGAGGTTTGAAGTGTAAGTTGAAATCTGTAGAAACGCATAAATGACTCAAGTGTCAATGACCACTTCTAAGTACAGAAGGCCAGTTTTGCCATTTTAGTAACTTTT